ACTATATGACAACATAAATGAACCTTGAGGACATTACACTAAAAAGCCAGTCAAAGAACATCATAAAACAGGATGATTTGACTTATATGAGATATCTAAATTTATAGGAGAATAGTTGTTGCCTCAGACCCAGAAAAGGGGAAGTGAGGTATTGTTAATAGTGACAAGTTCTAGAGATTTGCTCTAAGACATTTCCCTATTGTTTTAGTAATTCTGTATTGCACTCTTAAAACATTAAGAGACTAGATCCTCTTTCTGTTCTTACAATAATAATAATTCTTTTAAAATTGAAAAAGTATTCCAGAAGACACAATAAAACAGGGGAAAAGGAACCCATCATGTGGGAGTTTTTAATACATACTTCTAATAAAGAATTTATATTTACAATATATACATATTTCTGATAAGTTAATAATGAAAGGTGGAAATGTGGAAAAACCTAATAAGATATTTAAAGGGATTCTTCACAAAATAGCAAAGATGCTCAAAACATGAGCAATTGCTCATCAGAGGCAACTGAAAATAAAATTTTGAGTCTTTCAATACTTATAAGAGTGGCTAGAATTAAAATTACTATCAATTTTATGTTGATAGTAAGAATAACAGTGACCAGATGTTTCAGGATGCTTTTTATTACTGTTCAGCAATTTAGTATCTCTAAAAACTATCATACCTAATACATGTCAGTATACTTTTTTCAGATTACAATTAACACTTATTTCTTAGGATTTCAATATAAATATTCTAGAAAATTTCCATGAGTTTTGGGTCTCAGTTTCTAAAATATTTTTCCTTTTTCTTTTAACAAAGTTGATTGCCTTTGCTTCTCTGTTTTTTATATTTAAGTCTTTTTATTTGTATTATCAATGATCTGTGCCTATGTTTCTATGTATTTAACATAAAGTTAGTCAAAATATTTGCTATATTGGTAGGGATATTTGAAAAAATATTCTGAAATTCATATGAAAGGAAAATAGTAGTTTCAAGGTAAAATTTGCTACAAAATAATACTGAATTACAATATGGAGTTTTTAATTTTCAAAAACCATCACTTATATTTTCAATGTATTATAAGATATCTCAGTGTATCATAAAATTACAAATGAAGGTTATTACATTATTACTTCCTGTAATAAACATCATATATATATATGTATATATATATATATATATACATATATATATATGTTTTGTTTTATAGTCTCAGGATAAACCCCTAGAAGAGAGATCAATAAAAGCATAAGTACATAGGTATAGTATGAACTTTTTGTTGTTTATGGATATCTATTGTGAAATCATATGATGGTCACCACCAATATATTTGCTTCAGGTTTTCAGCTACATAGTAAATTATTTTGAGTTAGTCGAGTAAGTGAGTACTGTACCTACTAAGTCATACTTCATCTTTTATCAGTTTTTTCTAACTTATTTTCTATTCAAGTATTAATAGCTTTTTTGATTTTTTTGAGATAACACCGTTTGTGATTAAGGGGAATGTTTACAACTCTTCAGATAGTACATACACATAATGGACTACTATTCAGCTATAAAAAGCGATGAAATCTTGCCATTTGTGACAGTATGGGTGGAACTGAAGGGAATTGTGCTAAATGAAATAAGTCTGGGGAAGGCAAATACTGATGATTAATATGTGGCATATAAAGAAACAAGACAGAAACAGATGAACCAAGCTGAAGCAAACCTAGAAATAAGACATAGCACACCTTAAATTTTACTTTCTTTCTGTCAGACTATTGAATTTTATTTGCTAATTGCCATTAGGTCAGTTAACAATGAGCTACTTCTAAAGTGAATATGCCAAAAGAAATAGAAGAGGCACAACATAAATATATGGGACTTAGAGACATTTAAGAGACTCCAATTATTGTAAGGGATGTTTTGTATATTTATTTCTACCTTCCTCCATCCTTCACTTTACTCATTCTTCTGTTACATTGTTCTGTTAAATTGTGGATTTAGACTCATCTACTGTTAATAAATTTCTATTTTATAAATGAAACGCTATTAATCTTAACTTCAAAAGTATTTTATCATTTTCAGTGTTGTACTTGTCTATAACAAATAGTTCAGTTTTATTTTATGCTTAACTGGCTTAATTTTTCAAAATGAGGGGTAAACTTTTATTTTTAAGATTTATTTATTTGTGCATACAGAACTGGGGTACAAGCCAGAGGTACAGGGGCAGTGAGAGGATTTACCAGAGACAGAGTGGGGAGTAGAGTAGGCAAAATGACAAAGTACACTGCTGAGGGGAGTAGTGGTTCAGTCAGGTGATTTCTGCTGTGCCATGTGGATCACCTCTGGGGTCAGAGATCTAACTTGGCATGGGAATGGCTGTGGCCAGCTTGCTGTGGTGCGTCCTAACCTGTCAGCACCATCAGGGAGGGCCCTTATTTAAACTTTTAATTGCATAAATATCCTTTTTTATCCAAAGACCCTATAATGACCAAATTTTTTTACTGACTTTCTTAACTCATTTCTTAATCACATTCATGTGAATGTGATTAGTTATATTATATGTTACAGTAATAACAAGTAATAGTCATTAAAATAGTTACAAAAATAACCATCCTATCATTATTAATCTGAACACCTAGGATGATGACTATTAAATTGGCCCTCCCTGGTGGCGCAGCGGGTTAAAGCACAGCACAAAGAAACTTAAGCCACTTCCGCATGAGTTCGATCCCTGCCTGCCCTGGAGGAGATCCACATGGCATGGCAGACCTCTCCTGACCCGCCCGCTGCTCCCCTCAGCGGTGTACTTCGTAGATCTGCCTGTTCTGCTATCCACTCTGTTTCTGGTGAATCCTCTCACCCTCTGCATCTCTGGCCTGTACCCCAGTTCTGTATGAATAAATAAATAAAAATCTTAAAAAAATATTTCTCTATATAGTTGTATGGACTTACATATGTATCTGTTATTATTATCATTAAAAAGTATGATTATACTTGGAATTACCACAGTTTTTCTTTTTTCTTCTAAATTAAAATCAGTTTATTTATTTAAAATATAAATTGCAACATATTTTGCTTTACTTCCTTAAGTAGTTAACCAAACATAGGATATTTTAGGTCACTTCTATTACAAAACCAAGAATGTTAGTAGTTGAACTAAGAGCTAATTTTCTTTCTGCAATTTAGTGTCATTTTCTTCATCCTTTACATGTTTTAAAAATGAGATGTGTTAGAAGTGTTAAGTGTAAAAAGAAAAAGCAAGAATGAAAGAAAAAAGAGCAAAACTGGTGTTATGCTTTTATTTTCTCTTGCAGCAACAGTCTCTAACAATCCTGGCCTAGACAGTGGATAGTACCCAATGTATCACCAGGCTGAACTAAATCAAGAAGGAAAAAAACATAATTTCTCCATCATCTCTGTAGTCACTGCTGAGGATTTAAATTATGAAATAATAAATCATCTGTACTGGACTGATCTGAATTATGTGTGGCGTTTTCTCCTGTATTTTCAGTCCCTATTTCCATCCTATTTATCCCTATGAATCCCGTGGCAGCTCTGAGCAAGTTGACAGTAGCTAGAGACCCTTATCCCAGATGCCGAGAGGGCTTGGCAGTCCAGCCTGAAGACTCAGGGTAGCCAGCACCCTTTCCCTTCTGACCTGAATTCCGCCCTGCAGTGTGACCTTCTGCCTTTCTTTCCTGCAAGTCATTACATAGCCTAATGTGAATGCATTGTTCTAGAGGCATTTACTGAGCTCTAGGGACTGAGCTAGCCCCTATTTTTAGTTTGAATATACTTTTATTTTAGTTTGAATTGTTGCAGAGGTTTATTTTTTATTTTTAAAGTTTTTAATTTACAATATTTGATTTTTTCCTCAGGTGTAGTCCCCATAGAATTCCCACCACCAATTCACTTGTGCATGATCACCATAGCGCCTTGTGCTCTCTGGGTCCTCGCCCTGCTCTCTCTTCCTCCCCCTCTGCTGCAGAATGTCTCTGATTTGTAGTTGTCTTTATATTGTTGTTGGTTTTGTAGTATTTTTTAAAATAATATTTTAATCATATTTTCCCACCTTGGTGCCTCATTGGGTCCCCCGATATTCCTCTTGTAAGCGAAACCATCTGATATTTTTCTTTTTCCTTCTGATGTCACTGAGCATGAACCCTTGTCCAAGCTGTCCAAGTCACCATCCTGAATATTCAGTCAGGCTTATACATCACTTGAAAGTTCGTTCCTGTTTTCATGTAGTCTGCTTAGCTACAGATTTCTGTAAGAAGCCAAATTAGTCACAATTAATAATGTGAAAATAAAAGTTGTTCTCCCATGCTCATTTCATAGTTATATATTATGACTGGTACTTAAATTATGACTCCATACTGATTGATGAAACACATATATACATTTCCTATTTAGTTTTTATGGCTTCTCTTACCAAAGACATTTTCTAAGAAACACTACAATAGGCGACCTGATTTAGAATTTTTTGTTTTACAATATATTTTAATGTATGTGCATGAATAGGCATTTGTTTTGACCAGAAAGTTAAATTAGAAAACTAGCAGTAGATGCGATTAAAACAGGCAGTTGTCTGCATTTGAACATATAGTGAATTTTGATTGTTTTCCTTCACTACAGTAATTCAGCCCTTGAACCAGAAATCTATAAGAACTACAATAACTCCTCACAATTCACAGGCAAATGCCTTACTTCTAGAGGAAAAAGTGCACTTTACAACTATTGTTTCCCTGTAATGCGTTTAAAGTATCAGGATTTTGGAAAATAAATCTCAGTTGAGCTGGTTCTGTTGTGCTTCCTGTGTGCAGCCAGACCTTTGTGGCTGCCCCTGGGGTGCAAACTTTTGTTTCTGGGTTCACAAATCTGGGCAGACTCAGTAGCAGCACCCTCCACCCCTCCTTCTCTCCACTTCATCTGCTCTGTGCAACCCACCCCCACCTCTCAGGTCTGCAGCTGGGTTCAGGTTCCCGCGAGCTGTGGCGGTTCAGCAGCCAACTGACATCACCATGGCGTGGCCGCCCGCCCACGCATTGCTGTCTTTCCTGCTGATCATCTCAGGTCTGGGCTGGCTGGTCGATGCAAATCACAGTAAGTGATGGACCACACGGTGCATGTGTCCACTGTCTCAGGGTACTGGGGAGTGGAGGCCCTCACCTTCCTTAGAACTCCAAACCCAGCTGAAATGAGCCCTGCGAGAGTCCAGAAACTGCTCGGCTTCAGCATCGGGTGGGTGTGCTGGTTGGTGGGCTCAGATCAGGACGAACAGGTCACTTACCTGACCTTACATCTGCAGAACAGGGCGTCCGTTTTCTTGGGAGGTGGGGAAATAACACACAAACACCTTTTGACCGACTCGACTGGGGCAGTGCTGCTACCCACAGAGTCTCTGGGCAGTGATGGGGTAATGTTCCCCCTCACAGAGGAGACTCTTCCTGGAATCCTGTAAAGTTTGACTTTGTTGATGTGTGTATGTATGTGTGAGGGGTGGAGGGAGGGTTTGGATTCAGAGCGATATGCCATGAGAGAGCAAGTAAATGAAAAAATTAAGATGCCTTTATACACCCTGGGGAATGTTCACATGTATTTTCCTTACTGCAGATTTTGAAACATCACTTCTAGAAATTACAATACCGCGGAAGATTCAGTCAAACAGGATTGATGAATCAGAAATGCATGTAATTAAGAAATCATTTTTTAAAATGTTTTATTTTTCTTGAACTCTACGACCGAAATCAATTCATGTATCCCTTTGTGAAAACTTGTGTCCTGAGTTTATAGTTTGGTGTTTTGATCTAGTGTTAAAGAACTGTTTTTATTTAAATGAGAGCAGGCATTTTCATATTTTTTACAAAATCTTAAGTGATATATAAACATTGTAAAACTGTTTGAAGACCCAGACTCAGGTGTCCCAAATTGCTAGTACATAAAGGAATTTGTGTAATTAATATTCAGAGCTGGAATTATTTTGTGGAAAATATGTACATTGAAGTAATTTACATGTGAGATCATGTTTAGCCTGTAGTAAGAATCTAAAATGACAATATGTAAAGAATAGCTGTATGCCTATATATACATACATAAATCTTTGTGAAAATTATAGTAATGTTACTTTTAATTTGATGAAGTTAGTAAAGCATGTACAGTTGTCCCTTTCTTATCCTTATGATTTTAAAGTATTATAACTGATACGCCAAATGGTGTCCTCTTACAGGGAGAACAGATTCTTGTTAAATTTATGCAATTAGATATACATTTCATGAAATAAAAATACAAAGTTTCAAAATTCTGTAGTGATTAATAGGGATCTAAAAAATACCATTCATCTATAATATACATAGACAGGTGAATACAGTGATGGTATAATTTCTTTTTTTTTTAAGATTATTTATACATACAGAACTGGGGTATAGGCCAGAGGTGCAGGGTCAGTGAGAGGATTCACTAGAGACAGTGTGGGGAGCAGAACAGGCAGATGGATGAAGTACACTGCTGAGGGGAGCAGCGGGCTGCTCAGGAGAGGTCTGCCACGCCATGTGGGTCACCCCTGGGACTGGTGATCGAACTCATGCTGAAGTGGCTTTAGCTTCTTAGTGCTGTTCTTTAATCCTCTGTGCCACCAGGCAGGGCCCAGTGTTATAATTTCACTTAAACTTTTTTTGCTCAGTAATCACATATAAAACTCCCATGGTCTAGTTTTTGTCAAGGGAAACTTCATACATATAGCCTCTTTTATGTAAGGGAAAAATTCTCTATGGATTTAAAGGAGAAAAAAATATCAGTTTAAATAGTTTAAAGTGCAAACACATCTTTTTTCAGTAACTGTAAGGTTATAGAAGCTGAACATCAGATTGAAAAACAGTTAATGAAAGAAAAGTGTTGGTAAAATATTCTGGAATTGAAAAGCTAAGTATTGTCCCTGGAAGGCATATAAAAATGGCATTTTGAAGGGATGAAAAGAAAACAAAAGGAAAATTAGATATATGTAATATTAGAAATGAGAAATATAAAAAATGTGTAACTAAAAATTTTACACAATGTATGCCTATAAATAATTGCTTAAATAAAATAATTAACTTCAGTCCAAAGAGTAAAATGTAACAATAAACATGACACAAAATGAAATAGATTCTTTGTGGAAAGGGAGGGAAGAAAACAAAAATATGAAATGTGGAGATGGAGTTGGAATGAAGGAACTTATTAAATGTGGATTGCCCCAGAGAAATTGTGAGTTTGTATGAGGTAGCCTCTTTTGTTTTTTTTAAGATTTTTAAATTTATTTATGCATACAGAACTGGGGTACAGGCCAGAGGTGTGGAGGCAATAAGAGGCTTCACCTGAGACAGAGTGGGGGGCAGAACAGGCAGATCAACAAAGTACTCTGCTGAGGGGAGCAGCGGGTGGTCAGGAGAGGTCTGCTGAAGTGGCTTTAGCTTCTTAGTGCTGTGCTTTAACCTGCTGCACCACCAGGGAGGGCCAAGATAGCCTCTTTAAGTGAGGCAATTTCCACAGAGGATAGAGACAAAGATAGCCCTTCTGTTAGCTAGGGTATACCCTCTTTAATCTTACAAGAAGACCTATGTTGTGTTATTTCAGTTTACTTGTGTTAGAAAATGCAAAATACAAAAAATAGGGTAAAATTAATTTTTTCAAAGATTCCTCAGAACTTCTAAATGTAATAATTTTAAAGTTTCATAATGGTACTTAAAAATACTGATGAGTAATGAATTTTGTTTAGAAATTGATTTAGACTCGTTTATTTAAACTAAATTATGGTTAATCCTGTCATATATCCTAATACTGAAGAAACATATATGTGTGTGTATATATATATATACACACACATATATATACATATACATGTATTTTTATATGTATATATAATTTTGAAACATTCATGATTAAGTGTATGTTTATACTAAAGAGTATATATATGTTAAGTATAAAAAGGTGTTATAAGCATAAGTGTGATAGGATAGTAGCACTAGGGACTTTGGGGAGAGTGGGTGAAGCATGTATGCATATTGAGGTGGAAGTTGTACCTCCCAGATATATAGACTTGTAAACAAATGATTAATCAATAGTATAAAAATAGTAAAAAAAAAAAAAAAGTTAGTGGGCCCTCCCTGGTGGCGCAGCGGGTTAAAGCACAGCACTAAGAAACTTAAGCCACTTCGGCGTGATTTCAATCCCAGCCTGCCCCGGAGGAGTACACATGGCGAGGCAGACTCTCCTGACCCGCCCGCTGCTCCTCTCAGCAGTGTACTTCATAGATCTGCCTGCTCTGCTCCCTACTCTGTCTCTGGTGAATCTTCTCACCCTCTGCATCTCTGGCCTGTACCCCAGTTCTGTATGAATAAATAAATAAATCTTTTTTAAAAAAAATTAGTATGAAATTTATGGTTTTGACTTTTTAAAATTTGCAATTTCTAATACTTCCTTTCTCTTTGAACACTTTTCTGTAGGTAACTTATGCCATCAAAATTGGCAGGAAAATATATACTTTCCATCTTGAAAAACAGTAAGTGACAATTCTTTTTGTTATACAATTTCTTTAAATTCTTATATTTTTGCCCTAACTATCCTAATTTGGGTTTAAAAAAAAAAAAAGAAGAGCATATTATGTCCCTTTTTAATGTCAGACTAGAATTTAATTCTTCATCTTGAGATTTTAAAAATCAAAAAGTAACCTGAGAGCTAAGCTTCACTAGCATAATTCTTTGATAAGGGGACAGGAAGATGCTTCCCTGAATACAGCAGACTATTTTGCTATTTCCTAGAAAAGTAAAATGGATATATTTGAGGATTCAGGGTTCATAAACCTTAAAACTAAAGACTTCTTTTTTTTGACTATGCTTGCCGGATATCTGCTAAGTTTTTTCTTTTACATTTATATATTTTTTAGATGTTTAATTATCTCTTTTCCTTGAAATTCAGGTTATGTTGATTGACATTACTGGTTACCTTTGGGGAGCATAGAGTCTCCTCTTCAAATGTTATTAAGATAGTATATTCAGTTTTTACTTCTCATTTCTTCTTTTTGGAAACTGCTTCTGTATTCCCATTGTTACCACTTCCACTGACATTCTCACAGGTTTAAAAGGTGTCTCAAGCCTTTTGCCAGATTTATATTCAGGCACTTGTCCTTAAGCCCAGATCATTCCATGTTTTTCCCTGAATGCATGTGGACATGAACATATAATGTCAGTTTTTCTCTAAGAATTTCTTTGGCTTTTGTTGTTTGACTTTTAAGAAGAAGAATAGTTGTAAGGTGCAAAAGAAAATGAGCTGATGTGTAAAGAGAAGTCATGGTGAAGGAAAAGTGCTGTTTCAGTGGAGTAAGACCCACAAATGCCTCCTGGTATTTTGAATCATTGAAGAATTACAGTCTCCCTACAATCAGTTATGTTGTTACAGTTCCATAGTAGTCACCATCCTTTCCATAATAATAATAATATAATTCTATACCATGTTTATAGCAAAGTTGTGTAGAGAAATAATTTAACTGAAGAAATTTGAGAAAACCGCTAGTAGCCTGCTACAAAACAGAGGATTTAGGAATGATTATGTGCTTCTACATTTTTTTTCTCCCCCTTTGCTAAAGAAAAGGCATGCTCCAGGTAAGCACCAGGCCTTTGCCAGCTCCAGAATGAAGAGTACAGCTAAATCAGTGTTAAACTTGTGAAGAACACCCACTATTGTTTGAAGGCACTGCAGATTTTGGGTTTTGACATAGCCTAAATTTATGAAAAATGATGCAAGAGCATACAGTTGTTCTTATCAATCCATGGCTTCTTGTTAGCAAATATTTTAACTAAAGTATTTAAGCCATGAATATTACTGATGATTGAATCAGTGAAAACCTGGAAGCCCTGATTTGTACAGCATACAGGTATGTGTCATCACGGCATCCATACTGGTATCTGATTATGCTAGTTATTGTTTTGTCTTATATATACAATGTAATAACAAAAGGAAGCTGGAAAATTAAATTCCACTTATTTTTAGTATGTTTGAACTTAAAATTTGAAGTGAATTTTGTTTAATGATTCTTGGAGTTACTTTCATTGTTGATATTACAATGAATGTTATGTTTTGACTGAATTAGGTCATTTATAGATCCTCATTTCCTCATTTATTTATACAACAAATCAGGAACACATAATCAGGATTCGTCATTTCTAAAGGTAAGTCTTGCTTTTTCTTGTACAGATTTACTTTTTTATGTGTTTGAAGTGTTGTATGGGAAGAAAAATACTTTTATGTTCCACAGAATTATTAGGCAAACAATCATAAACCCATATATGGTGGGCAATTACTATAAAAGTATACTGAGAAGAACAACTAATTTTTAAATTTGGAACACAGGAATCACTTATAAAAAAAAAGATAATTCAAGCAAGCTGGAATTGCTTGTAGGATTTTTGACGAAAGAAAATAGGAAAACTGGTTAATAGAAAGGAATCAAGAAGTTGTTAAACATGAAGCCTCCCTGGTGATGCAAGGGGTTAAGACACAGCACTATGAAGCTATCCACTGCCACTGCAACACCAACTCAATCTCTGGCCAAGGAGGTGACCCACATGGCACTACTGACCTCTCTTATCTTGCCCACTGTTTCCCCTCAGCAGTGTATTTCAGTAGATCTGCCTGTTCTGCTCCCCACTTTCTTATGATTCCTTCACCCCTCATCTCTGACCTGTACCCCAACTCTTATATGCATAAATAAATAAGTAAATCTTTAAAAAAGATAAGTTGTTAAACATACTCAGAAGTTTTAATTCAGATATCATGGGACTAGAGCAGTGGAGGAAATGGTAGAGATTATAGAATGGTCACAGGGAAAGTGCTTCCATGTTTGGTAGGGACCAGGGTTATGTTGGCTGCATATAATGTTTTAAAGAGTTTTCACTCTTATTGGATCTTTTTTTTTGTTGTTGTTGTTGTTGAAAATTTGAGCAGGATATATCTTAGATTCTATTTGAAGGTTTGATAGAATTTATTGGAGAAGCTATCTGGTACTGGGCTTTTGTTCTTAGGGAATTTTTTTTATTACTCTTTCAACTACTGCTCTTGAGATTGACTGCTTAAACTATCTATTTTACCCTGGTTCAGTCTTGTTAACTCAAATTAATGCTGTTGATTGCATCTAATGCGGATATAGACTACATTCATATATGTTGCTGAGAAAAAAGTGATACAGATATTTGGTTGTCAAAAATTTAAAATTATAGTAAGAATTGTCTAGGGGAGGATGTGTCATGATATTTTATAGGCAGGAAAGGGTTAAGTGGAAGAGATCACTAGAGGATAATAGTGAAATAAATGGACTATCAGGTGAATACTTTGGTAATATCTCCATCACTGTGTTGTTGATGTCTAGGAAGTAGAGATAAACCTGAACACTTACAGATTACTCACTAATGTGTCTTTTTACACTTCTGTTTAGGATGATTGCTTTTATCAAGGATATGCTGCAGAGATTCCAAAGTCAGTTGTGACGATTAGCATCTGTTCAGGACTTAGGTAATGGCATAATTCAGAGATGTTTTATAGAAAATCTTGTGTTCATTTAATTTTGAGAAATTCCTTGAAGAGTAGAATGTACATGTTGATTGTATTACTTCTCATGTACTTTCTTTTCCTCCTCTGATCAATTTTAATGCCCACTTATCTCTATTCCAGGCTGATAGTCAATTTATGAGAAAATGCCTCCACTCACAAGAAGAATACTCACATCCTTTAGTCCCACTAGAGGCACAGTAACTCCTAAATGCCAATTAGACAAAGAAAAGTATAAAATTTGTTTGAAAGTTAATCCAAAAAATGAGATGATTCTTAAATACTGGGCCGTAAAGACTACTCTCAAATGTCTACAAGATATTTTTACTTAATGTTAATTTTTGTTTATCAGTAATTGACATTAGTTGCTATTTAATTTCATTTTGTATTTAAATATTCAGGGGATTATTGCAGTTTGAGGATGTCAGTTATGGTATTGAACCATTGGAATCTGCAGCTACATATGAACATATGTTATATCCAATAAATAACAATAAAGTTGATTTTCCCCCCTTAAGAGGAAATTATCTAAGAGCCCAATTCGTTGATCAGTCCCAGAGGATTCTTGTGAAATCAGAAGTAAGTATGATATTTTTAATAAACATATTAACATTGGCATTTTGTATTAAGAAACAAATTTTAACTGATATTGATTATATTAAAATTTATTTTAAGAATTTAATGTTAAAAGTATCTTGTTTATTCATATTTAATTACTGGAATAGATATAAATATACAATTCAAATATCAAAATTCTCAGATTTTGCTACTTAGAATATTTTTTGCACAACTTAGAAATTTGCATATATACAAAGTTGTATTGCTGAATTTGCATGTTACTAATCTAATGGTACCCACATTTGTTGATTATTCCTTTGTAAAAACTATTGTAATTTATTACAATAGATTTAGCAGTATTTGACTTTAGAATATGATCCATTTTTATTAGCCTTTTTGATGCACATATTTAATATGTTAATACATTAACTGATATTTACTTTAGAATAACTGTAACGTAATTCACAATTTTTGTGTAATACATTATTTTGAAAGGTATTGTGCAAGAAAATATAAAGGTAAAAAGGTAAAAAACGGTACCAAATCTCAGTATTTAAAGATAATGCTTTTAGAATTTTGATCTATTTGTTCCAGTTATTTTAATGTATCTAGTTATAAATGTGGATTTAAAAAAGTATAGCTTTTTTTTTTTTAAAGATTTATTTATTTGTACATACAGAACTGGGGTACAGGCCAGAGGCTCAGGGGTGGTGAGAGGCTTCACAAGAGACAGAGCGGGGAGCAGAACAGGCAGATCGATGAAGGACACTGCTGAGGGGAGCAGCGGGTGGGTCAGTAGCGGTCTGCCACGCCATATGGTCACCTCCGGGCAGGCGGGAATCGAACTCATGCGGAAGTGTCCTTAGCGTCTCAGTGCTGTGCTTTAGCCCGCTGCGCCACCAGGGAGGGCCCAAAAGTATAGCTATTTTTAATAGAAATGATCAAATTATATAATATTTATATAAAATTTATTTTTTTCTGTAGAGGATAATGCACATTTTTACTTATTAAATTATATTAGTTATTATAAATTAAATAATATTGCTTAATGTCTTAAAATATTGAATATGTGCATAGGAAAGGATAATAATAATGGATCCTATTCTTTAGTCAAATATTGCAAAATTCATTGTATTAATTTTATATATAGTGCTTTTATATTTTTTCACATATACATATATAAATTAAATATGAATGCATTTTATAAAATTACATGTAATTTGTGTATAATTTTACTATAATGAAGAAGTGACTATGAATTACCAATTCTTGAACAATTACACTATGCTTATAAGTACTGTCATCTAAGGCTAAGCATGTTTTTAAAGTTTTTTTTATTTATTGTCTAACTTCCTCATAAAGCATGTTTGAAAATTTTACATTTTATTCATTTAGGGTTAAATAAATGAGTCTCTTTAAGCCACAGAGTCTCATCAAAATTGACTATCACATTAAATGGAAATGAAAAAAAAAGTAATGAATGAACATTTTTATTGTTATTGAAGTATCATTATCTTATATTCCTGCTAATGCTTTGACAGAATAGGATTTCCTCTTCACCCTGAGTGTGGTCACCATAGTCCTCCCATCCTGAGACTCTCATGGTACTCCACTGAGTCCATCGTGTCTCCCCCGTCACCCCTCCTTGCTTTTGCTCTTTTCCCCCACCCTCTGAAAACCTAGGATGGATGCTTTAATTTGTTTTAGCAAGATTATAGTTATAGAGGTTAATAAAACTGTCTTTTTAGAAGCTCAAATATAATAAAATATAACTGGACAAAATTTTTACTTTCAATTCAACTGAGATGTGATCTAAAACTTTATTATATCAGTTCAGGAAACCACCTGTATGTGGTTACAACATACAACATTGAACACAATTGAACACAATTTTGCAACTGAAATATATCACTATCAAGTAACAAACTAAAATTATAATGGAATGCATGAATATTCTTCTGTGGCAGAGGAAAAACCTTTAAGGGATGGGCATGCTTTGTTTTCATTGAGTTATTTATTGAGATGTCCCCTCCCCCCCACTGTTTATGACTCAGATGTATAGTTTCACACCTCTTCTGATAGGAATTTGAGGGGATTTTGTGTACTAAAGCAAGCCAGAAGACAAAGACAAATGATGAACATTTAGATTAGCAGATGACTCAAGAGAGCAAAAGTGCTTATGAAAACCAGCAGATGCTAATAAAGTGAGACTTCTGAGATCATTATGAGAGAGACAGAGGGAGAAAGAGATGGGGAGGTATGAGGGATTGTGGTAGGCAAAAAAAAAAAAACAAAAAAAAACTAAACATTTAAAAAAATATATAATGGTTCATTTTCATTACTGACATGAATTTCCCCCTACTTGTGGACAGAAAATCAGAGTTATGTATGCCTTGCCTTATTAATGCAGTTAATTCCAGTTAAATTTTTTTATGCAAACCCACATACTAAAGCTAAGTACCTAGATTTCTGTTAATATTTACAACACAGTGAAGCCTGTGTGTTCTCTTCTTACCATTCAGCACAGCTCCTTGTACCTCTGAACTGACATGCTATTAACATCTCATATCATTCTTTATAAACACTCACTAATTTCTTTGTGTTCAATTTATTATTGTCCTTGAACTCTTAGAGCTACACATCATCACGTATTTTCTGTCTTAAGGCTGCTTTGGCTCCATTTCACATTCTGGCAGCTTGTATCCTCTCTTCACTACTCTAAAATATATTTTTTATTTGTTTTAAATTCTTTTCCAATCTAGCTATTAGTAGCATCATATAGCTTAGTTTCTGTATATTTATAATTTTTCCTATTTTCTTATATTTATGGCACTGTTTGTAAAGCCTACTTGTTATAACTCAACCTGTCTATGTAACTGTGTATTTTGTACATGATAATTACAATGACAATTTTTTAAATGTCTTATTTAATGTCAACTATTTCACAGAAGAAACAATCAGATGTTGCACTATTGAACAGACGTCTGAAAATACAAATCATTATGGATAAAGCTTTGGTATGCATCACTGATTTATTTCATCATGTTTTTGTTTTATGTTTGAATTCAAATGGAATACTATAAACATCAATTATATTATATTATATTTTATAATTTTTATATTATAAGTATCAATTTTTGAACTCTGTTCAAAATATGTATCTTAGAAGGACATCAGGAAATATCAATTGCCTTTACATTGACAAAGGAGGACCAATATTTATGGTATTGATTTCCCTATGTATATATGCAGTATAGTATACTCTACTAAAATAGTTTGAATGATAACTAGATGCAGATGCTTGTGGATTCACTTCAGTCATGGTGAAAATCTTTTCCTTGAATTGATTTCTGTTTTAAAACAAGCTATTTCATTTATTGCTCAATTGGAGATATTTGTTAGTCAATGATTTCTCTTATGAAATTATTTTATGCTTTATATTTTACTAAATAATTACATTTTATCTCTGATGTTATTTTATACTTTGTAAAGTCTCATATTTATGAAAATGAGAAGATTCCTTAATGGATACTTTTATTTGTGAAGATTTTTATTGTAGCAGTTTCAGCAAAGGCACGGGCAGCAGATTAAAAAAAAACAAAACTCATTTGTCCATGAGTTTTTGTATAAAGTCAATATATGACAGTGTTATGGATTTTTCTCATAAAAGTAAATATTTTTATTTATGTATATATAATTTTTATAAAAACAATAGTGTAACAGTATATGGACAAAATAATAAAAGAGCAGGTATAATTATATTAAAAAAGAAAAATATGCATATATTTGTCTATATTTTCACATATATATGAACACTGCCATGTATGTATCTTCGTATTATAAATATTCATTTCATGAAAGATCATGTGCTCTCTTTTATAGACTTATAATTTCTCTGATATTACAGGAATTTTTTTATTATATAATTTAATTATTTTTTTGCACATTGTTAATTTTGGGAAAAAGTTTGAATTCTCCTCTCAGGTGTAGTCCTCATAGTTCTATAATTACCTATGAACCATCACCAGTCTCTTGAGCTTCCTTCCCTGTTTTGAATCCCATTCTTCTCCTTCCCCTGCTGTATGTCTCATTATGTATGGTCACCTTGCAAATTTTGTCCATTTTCTCTATATTTTACATATAAGTGAAAACATCTGACTTATTTTGCATGGTGTAATCCCTTCCAGCTCCGTTCATGTTACTGCAAATGGCATGACTTTATCTTTGTGATCACTGAGTAGTACTCCATTATGTATATAAACCACATTTTCATGATCTCTTTATCTGTTTTGAGGCATTCACATTGTTTCCATACCTTAGCTATTGCAAATAATGCTACAGTAAACCAGGAGTTCAGGTTTCATTTCAAAGAAGTGTTTTTGTTTTCTTTGGGTAGATCCCTAAGAGTATAATTGCTATATCATTTGGCAGATCTATTTTTAGACTTTTGAGAAACATTGACAGTTTCCCACAGTGACTGGACCAGTTTGTAATCCTACCAGTGATATAAAAGTGTTCTTTTTTTCTTCATATCTGCACCAGCATCTGTTGTTTCCAGTTTCTTTTTTTTTCCATATGGCCATTCATGAGGTATAAGTTGGTATCTCATTGTGGTTTTGATTTGCATTTCCCTGATAATGGGATGCTGAATTTTTTTTCTTTTTTCATATACCTGTTGGCCATTGGCATTCCTTCTTTGGAAAAATATTTTTTCAGATACCACTTGTCCCCATTTTTTTGACTGGGCTTTTGCTTTGTTTCTGTTGAGTTATATAAACTCTTTGTAGATTTTTGATATCAGTCTCTTATCAGTTGTATGGAGTGCAAATATTTTTTCTTATTTGGTAAGATGTCTCTTTATTTGGTTACTTTTTCTTTTGTTATATAAAAACAAGCTTTGCTGTACAGAAGTTTAATGTAGTCTTAGCTGTTTACTTTCTCCATTTTCCTTTCTTCTGAAGATGAGTCCTCAAAGATGTTCCTGAAGTTTATGCCATGAAGTGTTTTAATTTACTTTCTTCTATATATTTTATGGTTTCAGTTCTCACAGTGTTTCATCAATTTTGAGTTGATTTTTGTCTACGGTGTAAAATAGTAGTCTAGTTTCATTTACATATGGCATTCTTTTTACATATGATCGAGTTATTCCAGCACCATTTATTGAAAAGCCTTTCCTTGTTCTAGTGTATATTATTTGCTCCTTTGTCATAGATTTGTTGGCCATATATGTGTTGTTTTATTTCTGGGCTTTCAATTCAGTTCTATTGGTCTGTGTGCCTGTTTTTGTTTGAATACCATGCTAATTTTATTATAACTAACTGAGTATATTATTTCAATTCATTTTAATGCACATAGAATCCTATTAATATAAATAATATTTAGATTTTAACTTTTTGTAGATTAATGCTATTTGGACTAAAATCATGATCATATATGTTAGAATTATATCCTGCCATAACCATATTCATGAGTTGCTAAAATAAACCTAGTTTTCTGTTTTCCCCTGTACATTTAGCTGTGTCACTTTCTACCAATACAATTATCAGTAGAACACATTTTCAATGTGAAAGTCATCATGCAAAAAAAAAATTGTAATATTTTATGATTAGTATTTTCTTTTATCTTCAATTTATTTGTCTTCAATATTAAAACATCACTCTATAAACAGCATATTTATAGTTATTTTCCTCAGTCCACTCAGATAGTTCTTGTGCTTTCATTAAAAAATTTAGTGAGGCTACAATAAGAGCATAGAAGGGTAAGAAATAAAGAGGGGTTGGACCAATGGAACATGGTGGAAGGTTATTACGCTTTTGTGGTGGATATTGGGCAGTAAAATACTGGTGTGAAGCATTGTGAACCTGTCCATGTCTCTAAATCATACTCAGCATTATAAGCCTGGGCTATATCAATAAAATGATACAGTTAAACAAAATTAAAGAGTCCAGCAAGATGACAACAGTGTGAAGAATTGGAGTCACCTACTACAGGCATGCAAAACAAAACTGAAGCAAAATAAAGCCCCAAACCCCTGGAGATGGTGCATCTGTCCAACTAAAAGGGGTAAGAAGAAGTCTAAGTTAACTTTGTTTGAAGTAATAACAGGGCACCACAACCCACTAGAGGGAGGGGGGCTGTAAGTGCAGGGCCCCTACAGCTATTGACAGACACACGCCAGCATCTGGGGCCATAAAATGTGGCTCTGCAGTGGATAACGGCATGCACAAGGATGCACGGAGGATGGAGGGTGCATTTCAGGAGAGCTCTGGAGGTGAGGGTACAGAGTGAGGTCCACTGTCTTGAATCTGAAGCTTATAACACAGAGGAGCTGCAGTCTGAACTGAGTCAGAGCACCTGGACTTCCTTATAGACAATGCTGTGACTGAAGTCCACGCTGGCATATGTGAGCCACCTATCACTTCCTGGTCCAGGTTGAGATATCTAAAACACTTGCTACCACCCCCACACAACCAAACCAAAAACCAAAACCAAAAAACCCCCACATACTTCACTACAGGGATTTCAAATTTCTGGGGATGGTCCCTCATGTCTGTTGCCCTGTCCTCTTTTGTATACACTACCCCAACTGGCACTAGTCCACTGACTACCCCAACAAGTACAAAAATTATCCCTACTAAAAACCCATACAGAATTTGAAATGAGCAGACAGAAGAATACAGTACCAATGTCACATTAGAAAGTCCTGAACGGAGATGCACAGCAGCATGATGGAGGGGAACACAGGACAACAGTCCTGGCACTGCTGCGGAAGCTGACAAGCCAACAAGGGATATAAAACACCAGAATTAAGACAATGAAGATAGGAGGCAGTGACATGCAGAAATAATGCAGTTTATGGGCATCATCAGTAGAGTAATATCAATATCCAACAAAAAAGAAACATCAAAGAGGATTAATGAACTAGAAAACACAATACTGAAGAGCACAAGAATAAAAAAGGTAGAGAAAATAGGTATTAAAAATGAAAATTGTGTAAGAACTGTCTGAGACAACTTAGAAATAATAATCATATCATAGGGATTCCAGGAGGAGAAGAAAAAGAAAAAAAATAATCACTGAAAACCCTTCAATCTGGAAAGTGAGCCCGAAGTTGTGATAGGAGAGGCCCAAAGAATTCGAAACCAAGTAGTATTGGATGGATGTATAAACAAAGCACATAAACACACAGATGTCAAGAACCAACAATTACAGAATGCTAAAAATATCAAGAACATAAAGGTCACATGTAAGATAACAGCAATCAGACTATCAGCAGATTTTTTGTCAAGATATTTTAAGTTCAAAGATACTGGAAAGTGATATTGAAAATATTTAAGGAAAATAATTTCCACCCAAGAGTTCTCTACCCAGCAAGACTGATAACCAAGATAGAAGGAAGAGTAAGGGAATTAACTGAAGAGCATAAAACAAAAAAGAATTCATGAATACAGCTACTTATGAAGAAAATCCTAAAGGGGTTATTATAAAGCAAAGAATCATGAATATTCAGGAAAAAGGAAAAAACACAAACCCATTTAATTATGTAACATGGAGGAGGATGAGGAAAGTAACAAGTGGCCCATAAGAAGTAAAACTGCAGACAACGCCCATTCCACCCCCTCCAGTTCCGGTGCGTGGCCCTAGATACTTCCTGCAGGCTGTGCAGGTGGCAGCAGGTGGTGGGCAAGTAAGGTGCCCACCACCAGATATTCTATTGGGGCTGAAGCTGCTAGTATTGGCCAGCGGTGTTGGCAGCCAGCAGTGGTTCCACTACCTTGCCAGTTCGAGGTTGTGCAGTCCCTCCAAAGGTATGGCTTCCTCCCATAGCAACAGAGATGCCCATGCATTTGGGGGTGCCTGCATCATAGAATGGACTGATCAGCTGCAAGTATGAGCTGACTGGTAAATGGTCTGATCAGCCACAGTATTGAAATGGGTCCAGTCAAACTGGTAGATGGGGCATCGTAAAGGGAATATAGAGCAGGAGGGAAGCCAGATTGTGGGGCATTTTCACTTTCTCATTGGACTCGTTTGCTTGGACAGCTGTACTCCTGCACTCTCAGATTTGATTGATTGTAGTCGTTTGCTTGGAATGGACGCTTGTTTGCTCAAACTGGATGCTCTCAGATTCATCCATCAGCCAAACTCTGAAGAAGAGAAGCCAAAAAACTTCACAAAGGCTGGGCCAGCCATGCCTCCCTCCAGCCTGCCTCTAACACTGCCCAAAAGGACCACTAGTCCTCAGGCCTGGTGTCTCAAAGAGATATATATTGTTGGTATAGACCAACAGCTGATAAACTTTGGTACTCATGCTGTTTGCTTTTATGTTTTCTACTGCCACCATTTAAACAGTGGGGTATGGAGGAAACCTTGTTTAACACATAATAAGACAAAGTATAAGTATCATACATATCAGAGCAACTAGTGATTTCCTAGTAGATTTCTACAAGTAAGTGTCCTTTACAGATGAGGATTCCAAGTAACTGGTTATTCTTACTGAAAATGGCAGCATAAAAAAGTTAAGAAGTGCTATGTTTAATACAGGCAGGAGCTTAAAGACTTTGAGAACTATCACATGCTAGGGTCGGATGATACAAAATGTTTCAGAAACCTTGTGGTTTAGGAACTTTTAGCCTAGAGGGGTAGGGAGAAGAAAACAGTCATTAGGGTGTAAAAAATATAGTCTTTAATTCAATCTAAAATTTTTAAGCACTTGAGAAATCTCATTTTCGGTTTTTCCTTTTGCTTGAGCACTGCACTGTTACAGCATTTTATAATTTTGATCATTGAAAATGGAGTAGCGTAGTAATTTTCACTAGTAATTAAGAATATTTGTTTTTCAGTATGATTACATGGGCTCTGAAGTGGCAGTTGCAACTGAGAAAGTCGTTTATATCTTTGGTCTTATCAATACTGTAAGTATGTTGCATATAACATTTTATTGTTAATTTTTTAAAAAAGATTTATTTATTTCTTCATACAAAACTGGGGTACAGGCCAGAGATGCGGAGGGTGAGAGGATTCACCAGAGACAGAGTGGGGTGCAGAATAGGCAGATCGACTAAATACACTGCTGAGGGGAACAGCGGGCGGGTCAGGAGAGGTCTGCCACGCCATGTGAAGCTCCTCCGGGGCAGGCAGGGATCGAACTCATGCTGTAGTGGCTTAAGCTTCTTAGTGCTGTGCTTTAACCCACTGCACCACCAGGGAGGGCCTGTTGTTAATTTTTTTTTTTTTTTTTATTGAGAATGGTTCACAACAGCCCAGGCGTTCTTGGGTAGGCTTTATACCTCCTTGAATATGTGCTGTCATACCCATCCTCCCATTTTTCTTACCCTTTTGGCAGACTCAATTCTGCATTCAGATTGCAAGGATTTGTTTTAGTTTGTTCATTTTTTTTTTTTAGATATGAAATTTCTTTTGTGATTTTTGTTTTATTAAGGTTACACTCATTTGCATCATTGTACATGACTCAAATATATGATCCCACCTTTACTGGTGTATGTTACAATACATCCATATGTGTTCCTGCAGTGTAGTGGTTATCACGTTCGTCTAACAATGCTCCATCCACTATTTTTGGTTCTTTCTATTTCACATATTGGCTGAAACTATCTGGTATTTTGACTTTCTGGCTTATTTCGCTAACATAATCCCCTCCAGAATTCAAACTATACTTTAAAGTGATAGTAATCAAAACACATGACAGAAAAGTATGATATTGGTTAAAAATAGATACTGACCAATGACATAAAGTTGAAAACGTAGAACAAACCCACACTTTAGGAATGTTTCATTTACAATAATGCATCTAAAAATGTACAATGGAGAAAGAAATTTTCTTCAATAATTGGTCTTGGAAAATTGGATATTCACACATAAAAGAATGAAACTAGATCATTAGCTCACAAGAAGCACAAAAATTAAATCAATATTGATTAAATAGAATAGTACATAATACATAGAAGGAGACATAGGCAAAACACTCCCTAACATTGGCTTCAGTGGTGTCTTTGGGAATTCCACTGTGGTGGCAAGGGAAAGAAAAGCAAAAATAAAAATGCTAACATATCAGACAAAAAAGTTTCTGTACAGCAAAAGAAACTTATCAGATAAAACTGTACTCTACTAAATGGAAGAAAATATTTTGCATGCTACATTACACATTTTAATAATAGTTTTGTTTATAAAAATAGCATTCATATTTTAATAAAATGCATGATGCTACCAGTTAGTTTCATCCACCAATGGATTTCATTTCCAAAAAATATAAATATAATATATATTAAATATAAGTTTTAATATTAAATGTTATATTAAATAGTATGTTATTTATATGGTAATAAAATAATATACTATTTTATATTGAATACATAAATATAACATAACACACACTTAATGGTTATATATAACATTCAATAATATTAAGTCTCTATTAGAGATATAAAGTTGTATTTATACTAATCTAAAACTATATCATGTATCTTCTGTATTCAGATGTTTTCTCAGCTTAAAGTGACTGTTATGCTATCTTCCTTGGAGATCTGGTCTAGTCAAAATAAGATTTCATCTGATGGGCCTGCTGATGAAGTACTGCAGAGATTTGTGTTATGGAAGGAAAAATTTTTGTTTCAAAGGTCCAGTGATATGGCATACTTACTAATGTAAGCATTTTATTTGCATTTAAATGGGCTTAATCAAATTATTTGAAATATTAGCCATCAAGATTACATACACTTGTCATTACAATAACAAGACATCTCAAAATGAATATATGAAAACTGAGTTGACAAAATGCAAAACACAAACTGATCACAATATAAGATACTAAAATCACAAAAGAGTATTCTCAGAGTGGATTTTTTACCTATGGAAAAGTAATAAATTGAAAAATATGCGAAGTTTTGAGGTAAACAAGAGATAGTGTGGTTTTAAAGATTTTTTCCCCAAAGGTAAATAATTGAAACCATCATTTTTAAATTAAAAAATATTAGTTAATATAATATTAAAATTATATATAAAAAATAATTGTACTATAAACCATTAAAATAGTAATGTTACAATACTACCAAAGGTGAAGCTAGTTAACTATTTGCATTATATCTTTCAACTGTTAGGTATATACACACACACACATACACACACACACACACACACACATATATATATCTATATATATTTTACCAATTTGATTATTTTAGATGACAGAAAACCCCACAATTCTGAGAATATTACACAATGTGGAATATATTTATAAATCTACTAATATCTCCAAGGGTAGTAATCAAGGGCCATATTTGTGGTTTCAGGAAAAACTTTTTTTTTTAAAGATTTACTTATTTGTGCATACAGAACTGGGGTATAGGCCAGAGATACAGGGGAGGTGAGAGGCTTCACCAGAAACAGAGTAGGGAGCAGAACAGGCACATCGATGAAGTACACTGCTGAGGGGAGCAGCGGACGGTCAGGAGAGGTCTGCCGTGCCATATGGTCACCTCGGGGCTGGCGGGAATCTAACTCATGCTGAAGCGGCTTTAGATTCTCAGTGCTGTGCTTTAACCCGCTGCACCACCAGCGAGAGCCTAGAAACAACTTTTAATAAGTGTTAAAAAGTTCACAGGAACTTTGTATTTCCTTTTCATCTTTAAAAATGAACCTAATACATATTTTATCTCTCTCTTCCATCCTCCCTTTTTACACATTTTAGGTGCTTACTGTATGCAAATGATAGCCATGAGCAATTCTGAATTTTACATATTACAGTTATATCCATACAGTATTGACAATTTGATTAATTTTTTGGAAGGATTAGGAGCTATTGGGTTTTGTGCTGTGTGCCATGTAATGTTAAAGTAGCCTTTAAAACTTTGTAGGAACAAAAGGAGAGTACTCAAATACAAAATGATTGAAAGCATTAGAGATGATGTATAATAATTATACTTTAAATAAACCAAAGCTTTATTGAGAATCTAATTCTTAAAACTTAAGTTTTTACGATTTAAGTTGCATCTATTAACACAAAATTACTATTTAGTTATAGGGACCATCCTAATTATGTGGGAGCAACCTATCATGGGAAAGCATGTGATCCAAAGTTTGCAGCAGGAATTGCTCTGGTATGGATTTTATTTCCATCTCTTTAAGTGATTCTATCATATTTTGAAATCTAATATCCACTTCAAGGAACGAAAATACATATATCTACCATTTAGAAATGTTTATAAAATATTCTTTTTTAGATTTTTGAAACTCAAAAGTTGTAATTTTAAAGGATTTTTCATTGTGGCAAAATTAACAATATATAATTCACCATTCTTGCTAATTTGAAGTCAGGTTCTGTACCTCTGCATTATTGTGAAACAGATTACTTTTCATCTTGTGTTATTGAAATTTTGTACCTTTTATATAACTAGGTCTCATTTTTCACATGTAGCCCCTGGAAGCCATTAACACTGTTTCAATAAGTGTGACATATTTATATTTCACATTTAGTAGAGAGCTACATTATTTATCTTTCTATGCTTTATTTATTTCACTTAGCAAAGTACCGTCCAGGTTCATTCATGTTATTGCAAATGGCGGGATTTCATTTTTATGTCTGAATAATCATCCATGTATGTGTGTTTTAATTTAATTCTAGAAGTCAAGGCTTAGAAACAGTGTATAGAGAGTAAAACAATACATACTTCACTGTAGTCTAATAAATAGAATAAAGTAAAATATAATAATATAAAATATAATAAATTTTTAGTAAACTAATGTATGGCATTTTGTTTATCCATTCATCTGTCAATGTACACCTTCTTTATTACTTGACAGTTTAATCATAACATACTGTGCTGCTTTTAACAGTTTTTGACTTAATGTATATTTAAAGGATACATGTTTTAAAAGGTCAAAGGTGTGAAGAAATAACTTGGGTGCCAATTCTGATGTTTTCCTATTTAGTACCCAAAGATGATATCTTCAGAGGCATTTTCAGTTATCATGGCACAGTTGCTTGGAATCAATATGGGTTTAACCTACTATGACGTCTATAATTGTGAATGTCCAGCGACTATCTGCATAATGAATCCCGAGGCAATGTAAGGTGTTAGTTTTATCAAACATTTATCTTCTTTTGGGAAATGTTTGCAGCATTCCTGGATATATAATATGTTGCAATGTAACTGATTATTATTATTCAATACTCATGCTCCTATAAAGTTTATTAAAATTAATCTATATTTGATATTTTAGAAAATATCAAATAGCTTATAGTTCTATAGCCAATGTTATAATATGGAAAGAAAATGGATATCAATGCTGACATTTTGGTGTATGTTATAGTCTTGAGGTGAAATTCATTCATTTTTACATTATGTAATGTGTCCTAGATATTATTTAATTTTTTCTTACAAATGCTTATCAAGATAGACATATCCAGTGTTCTTATATTGGCCAATAAGAGTGAGAAACTTTACAAACTGAAAAAAAAGAATACCAAAATATATATAACCTATGATAGCTACTAAGAGGGAAATTGATAATAAATTCATAGGCAAAATAAACTTTCTAATGAAATGACGTAAGAAGGTTTCTCTGAGGTAACAATATGTCAGAATCAAAAGAGATGGAATGAATTTGGTCAAGTAAAGAATCCGTTGACAAACCTGCATGGTCAACAAGGAAAGTGATCCTCTGAAAGGTGCTTGTAAACCTCAGTAGACAGGAATTAGGGGCACTGGGAGATGAATAAAACAGGAAATAGGACTATAAAAACAGAATGTTTTAGACATAGTAGAAAAAGAAAGTAAAATATTTTGAGTCAAGGGAACAGTGGTACAAGGGTACAAGGGAGTAAGTCTTGGAGGTAAAACAGGAAATGCTGGAAAGAGCCTGACCCTGCAGTCATCATGTGAGAGATGGGGGTTTGCAATAAGCAAAAACATTTCCACTTGTATGTGCACTGTGAATAATAAAAATTATCTTTAAAAGTGAATGTAAAATACACAAGAAGGAACAATAATGTGCTGATTTGGTAAATGATGATTCTCAAAATAGCCACAGTAGTTTATGGAGATGGAAAGAAAAGGAGGTATCAAGAATTATTTGTAAGTCTGTGGATATCACAACTGTATCATTTAAGTTGAGATTGTTTCAAAGTGAAACAAAATACATTAAACAGTACATAGACTTATAGCAATCAAAATAAAAAGTTAAAAAATAAACAAAGGATCCCAGGCTTATACTTTTAATCTAATTAATGTTGAAATATTTTGTGTCATTTTGTTACAAGGAACAAATAATACAGATGTTCCTTTTTTTAAAAAAGATTTATTTTTATTTATTTATGCCTAGTAGAGCTGGGGTGTGGACCAGAGGGAGGGGAAAAGGATTCACCAGAGACAGAGTGGGGCGTAAAACAGGTGCATCTATGGAAATACATTACCCTAGAGGATCAGTTGGCGAGACAGGAGAGGTCTGATGATCGATGTGGGCCAGCTCCCTGGCAGATGATGGAACTTATGACACAGTGGCTGCTAATAACTAGATAGTGCTGAGACTTCCACCCCTGTGCCATGAGGGAGCCTCTAATTTTGATAGTTCATGAACAAAATTAGCTCTTTTGTCCCTTCAGTTTTCCACACAAATTCTGAGGATGTTTTTTCTTTTTATACATAATGGGTGCTCCTGGTAATACTCATTATATAGATAGATATATGATGACAACAATCATGAAAATAATAACTAAAAAATACTTAGTTTTGTTTGCCAAACAGTGTTAAATGTTTTAATATGTTACACCTCCCTCACGTTCATTTCCTCTTCTTTATAGATGTCTGTTATATAAAATTATAATAGAAAAGAAACTTTCCCTTTTATTTATAACTTACAAATGAAAATTTCTTCCACTCCTTGACTCTTCTGTAAGAGAGGTAGTACAGAATTCAAAGCACTTTATTTAGAAGTACTACTTTGACACTGATTGTATTCCATTTATATGAGACATATAATTTAATTTTAGACGTTCCCGTGGTGTAAAGTTTTTTAGCAGTTGCAACATGGATGAATTTAAACATATAGTTTCACAGCCTAAACTTGAATGTCTTCAGAAGCAGACCGATTTGGCAAGGGTTGTTCAAGGAAGAAACTCAAGTTGCGGAAATGGAATTTTGGAAGCACCAGAGCAATGTGATTGTGGCTCAGTAAAGGTTAGTCACAAAAATTAATAGTTCGTCTAAAAAATTATTTTTGTTTTTTCACACCATTAAACATAGTTTTTGACATAAAATGATTTTAAACAAATGCTGCACTCTTATTAGATACTTAAGATGAGGAGATATGAGGCATGCAATGACGGATATTCTAATTTTGGAGGATTGAAAAACTAGGTATGGGTAAGTGTAGCATGACTTAAAAACAGATTTCTTTTCATTAATGGCAATATCCACTTTTGGGTGTCACAAACATCAACAGTACTATCAATAGTGCATCATCATCTAAATCATCTTTTGAATTTCTGAAAGTGACTGTATTGGTTCTCTTCATTATTAAGTGTCTGCTGTTAACTTCTTCATCACCTAATTTCAGTTCTTGCATATGGAGTAAGTTCAGTTATAAATAATTTTGAGTTGCTTTATATTTTCAATTATATTTGTAAGATAAATTCTGTATACATTTTATTGACTGTTTCATAAATTTTGATATTTTAAAATATTCCATATTTTCTTAAGAAGATATAATTTGTTACTAATTGTTCAGAACAAAAGTCTGCATAAATTGGTTACATATTTTTGTAGTGAAAGTTTCAAATTTTATGTGTTACTCATTTTGATTGACCTTTCAATACTTGAGAAATAATATTGATAATTAATTCTAACTATACAACTGGATTTGCCTAATTATAACTATAATTTAGTGAATTCATGCTTTAGATGTTTTACATAGTATGGAACTTATTTATGATTCCTGTATCTTTCAAAAAATTGAAAGTTTTACCTTAGAATAATAAGTATTTTTGTCTCTAACATTGCTGTCTAGTTCTTATTTCATCTCATATGTATTAATTTATCATAAGTATCTACACATATACATATATTTGCTTTTATTAATTTTTCCTGATATTTCTCCATTCTCATTCAGTTTTCCTGTACTTTCAAGTTCAGTATATAATTTGGTTTTAAATTATAATTAAATCAGTCTTGATTTACAAGATTATCACCTTATTTCTTGGGGATTCACCTTTTTGCTTGTGTTTAAATAACTAATCAACTTCAGTTTAAATGAAATAAAATTTAAGTAAATTTAACTTGAACTAAAATTGATTCTTAATCCTTTGCTTTTACTAATGGCCTCTTTCTGTCCCAGAGAGTCTAGGATATCTCATCACACTTGGTATTATAAATTCTTAGGCTCCCTTTAGATTACATAATTTTAAAAGTAATGTTGGGTGTCTCAAAATTTTTATGCTTTTTCTAATGTTTATAAAATCTTTATACTTTTATGTTTATTTTGCAACACTTTAGTTGAATTTTTATTCAATTTATGAGGGTTTTGCTTCCTTTCCTTCTCTTTACTTTCAGTGAGTAGTGGGCATGTACATTCTAATTCCTGTATTATTCTTTCATTTTTGTCATATATATTAAATGTTAATCACTGTTAGGGCCAATTTACACTACAGTTACAGAGGTTACATACCAATTAACTTATGTCACATTTTTGTAAGATAGTTCGTTTCTGTTTTTTTACTCTTTCATTAGCTTGTACTATGAAAAATATTGAGAAAATACTTTACCTATTCTTTTTGCCAATGAATACAGTTATTTATTTGGTTGAGAGTAACTTTTATTTAACTTGATTATATTTGCTTGTAGGATTGCACTCATCAAAAATGCTGTCGAGCTGCAGAATGTCGTCTAATTGGAAGTGCAAAGTGTGGTAGTGGGCCATGCTGTAATACAAATACTTGTACGGTAGGTTTTTCTTTTTTTAAGATTTGTTTATTTATGCATACAGAACTGGGGTACAGGCCAGAGGTGCAGGGGCAGTGAGAGGACTCACCAGAGACAGAGCGGGGAGCAGGGCACGCTGACTGACGAAGTACATTGCTAAGGGGAGCAGCAGGTGGTTAGGGGAGGTCTGCTGCACCATGTGGATCACCTCCGGGGTGGGAATCAAACTCTTGTTGAAGTGGCTTTAGCTTTTTAGTACTGTGCTTTAACCTGCTGCACCACCAGGGAGGGCCCTTGTATGGTAGGATTTTAAGCTAGTGCAGTGTTTTATTATATATGCCTTTTTGGTCACTGTACATGCAATTTATAGATTTAAACTTTTCAACACATCAACTATTTTACAACTTTGTGTCCCATGTTTATTCACAGTTGATTGCAGAATTCAAAGAACATCCTTATGTCTTTTTCAAATTCCTTAATGCTACCTTTCACTTAATGTTTCAGTTTCCATTCGAAGCTCATCCAGTTATTATATTCAATACCAAGTTCATATTATTTAAGCAGTATGAATTCACTTTGGTCATGCCCAGGGGGTCAAACAATTTATGACTAAATTACAAATGAACCCCAAAACACTGGAGATAATGGTTTTTAATGAACAGAAAATAATGATTTTAAATTTCATCATGAAAGTATCAGAAAAGGAATCCATGTTAGAATAGCCAGCAATGAGAAGCACCTTAGTTTCGGCAAAGTTTCCTGGTACTGAAAGTGATTGAATTCTTGACACTTAGGAAGATTTCCTCAACTTTTTTCACCACATTTAAGGACACCTGTATAGTTGTCTTATAGATTGCTTCATTGTAACATCCTACTTTTTGTGTGTGACTTTTAGGAGTTTATGCCAAGCATTAAAAACTGATTAATTACAGGTTTTCATTGTCAGATGTTTTCTCTCTGTCAGTGAAATCGCTGCTAACATTACTGCATGCTGTTCTATGTGTTTTCTTTTCCACTCTCTAGAGTAGACCTTAAAGCCAGTGGTTGTTTTCAAGGTGCATGAATGCAGAGCTCAGCCTAGTGTTTCTACTTTTTAGCAACAAACCTTTTTGCTTTTACTTTACCTGAGGTCTCCTTTTGACTTTTGTTTCCCAATCAATAAGATTTAGAAATAAGACTTTTCCTCCTATATTCCAAAGTATAGTTATTTTAGAACAGAGGTACTTGTTAAATTTGGTCAAAAGAAAATTCACAGTAAAGGTTAATAAGCTGGTCTTCAGGGTAACAGCTGAATGTTCCGTTAACTTACATTAATTTATTATGCTATAGCACAAAATTTGGTCTTTTCTCTCATTGAGAGGCTCATAGGTGTCTTACATTCTGATCTCTTTTTTTTATTGGTTATAAGCATAAAGACTTCCAGTTTTGTTTAGTACCTACCTTCAAGTTGGTTAATATCTACCAATAGTATTTGAAATATAGCAATAGATCCAAATTATTTCTTACAATTTTCAATTTAATAAATACAAATTCAAGTGCAAAGATATGTGAAAACTAGTTTTTATCCAGTGTTTTCTAAGACCTAACAGTGAAAAATATGTAACTATTAAAATTTTAATTAGTATTGCATATTATGATTCTGTATCTGTAAGCTTTATATTGATGATTACTGGCCATGCGAAGAGAAGCAAACAAACATTAATGAAGTTTAAGTAAAAGACAAATCTGACTTCATGGTCATATGGATCTTTAATTCAAACAAGAGCAGTGTGTATGTATTTATTGGATGTCTCTAATTTTTGTTGATAGTTTCAAACAAGCTTTATCTCCCTATGTGATATACCTAGCTTCTTACAGCTCCTGGTTTTACTAGTCCAATGAGAGTAGAGGGATCCCCCCTTTCCCAACATGTCAAACCTTGGTATTAGTGAAACCATTGACTGATCTTACTGAATTAAACCTCCACCACTTCACCAACTGTTGTGTTAGGTAAAAAGTATACTGATGATCAACCTGAGTTATAAGGAGACTTGTGTGGATTTTAAACCCCTCCTGGTAGAGGTAGAGCAGGTCCTGAGAGGAAAGCCAGTTGAAATGAAAAAAGATGCCCATTGAGCATTATTTTAGGAATATGGTAAAAACTAGAACCTGATTCAGTATAACATTCAGGAATACAAACTGATTCTCAGGAATCAAAAAAGTGAAAAGTAAATATGAATAATAGTATGTCAATTATATTTTATTTACCTTGAAGATAAGATAAAGCTAGATTTTAATCAATGGTAATTTCATTAGAGTCTTCTGATTTGAAAAGTTGAGGTGAAATTCACATAACATAAAATTCACCATTTTAAAGTCAACAGTGCAGTGAAAACTAGTATACTGACATGGCAGTGCACTGTGTAAGCTATCACCTTCCTTTACCTAGTTGCAAAGCATGTTCATCACTAAACAGGAAACTACCTACAAATTAAGGAATTGCTCCTCTTTCTCACATCTCTTCAGTCTCTTCAGACAATCATAACAATCTGCATTATATCTCCATGAACTTGCATATTTTGAGTATTTCCTATATGTTGAACCAATATGTGAACCATTGTATCTGATTTTTTTTTTCATTTAGTCTAGAATCATTTACCTGGTAGCATATTTTAGTATATGATTCCATTGTTTGCATATATGCAGTTCATCTATCTATACACTCACTAGTGGACTTTTAAATCTATTACACTAGTGCTTTTAAATAAATTCATAATATAACTTTAAATAGTTAAAAGTATAATAATAATGCAAATGCAAAATGCAAAGCTCTTATTTAGATATTTTGCATTTTTGTTTTACTGCTAAAAATACATATTTCTTTGTCTCACAGATACTCAAAAGAGGACATGTATGTAGGAAAAGCACAGATCCCTGTGACTTTCCGGAATACTGTGATGGACTGTCTGAGCTTTGTGTACCTGATATGAAATCTCTCAATTTAGAGCCATGCAATAATGGCACTGCCTATTGCTATAATGGAATATGTCGAGATCCAGATAGACAGTGTATAGAGATATTTGGAAAATGTAATATTTGTATCTTCTTTTGTTCTGATGGTTATTCTTAAATATTTATTTCTTTATAATTAGAAATTCTCCAATGACCTTACAGGGTAATAGCCTTTGTCCTCAATATGGTTGCAAAACTTGTGAGGACAGGCACTTGTGTGTGAGTGCATGTTTAATCAAGATATACTTAACATATCTTAACATATACAATTCTACAGTGATTAATTTGATGATTTTGACAATTATATACACTCTGTTGACCACCCAGACTTGTTGAGCTAAATTTCCTATTGCTTTACCAATCTCTGTGTCAGGTAGGTGTACTTTAATGATCATCCTGGATCATGAGGACATTTCCATTACTCCAGAAAGATCCCCATGTGTTTCTTACCATCCTTTCCCATGTCTCCATCCCCAATAAAAAAATCCCTTTCTGACTTCTATAGCTATAGATTACTCTGTGCTTTGATTTCATATAAATGAAATCAGATGGTTATCTTTGGTATATGGCTTCTTTCCCTTGACATATTTTTGATATTCATTCATATTATGTGTATGAGTAATTCATTCAACATTTTTTTCTAATTTCAGTAATCATTTAGCCATAAAGTGGCTAAATTTTAAATTTTAGAAATTAATCTAAATTTATAAGTAAAATTGTAAATCAAAGCAACTTTGAACTATTTTAAAAGGTAAAATAGACCTCATAGCTATAGGACAAATGTTATCAAAATATTAGTCAAATTTCAGGTGATTGGAGGTCAAGAAGTACAATATTAGAATTTTAAAAAGAGTAGTGACCGAAATCTCAATCATTTCTCCATAAGATATCAATATTCCTAATATCAAGTAGGTAATTTTTTAAGTGTTTATTTTTGTATAATAAATAGACAATACCAAAAACTTATAATAGACCACACTGACTTGGCATTCCTGTTGTCTAGATATTTTTATATTTACCACACTTTTAATTATTTTAATTAGGTGAATAATTGGAACTTTATCTTTTCAGTTGCTAAGGTTTCTTCTCATCTATGTTCACAAGAGGTGAATATTCAAAATGACATATTTGGAACATGCGGCAGAGTGTGTAATTTTGCGTAGGTATTTAAAAATTATATATTTTCCAATTGCATGTTAATGTGTATTTGCGTAATACAAAGCTTCTTCATACAAATGTTCGAAGATGCAGTGTATATAATAAATTTACATGTTGCAGTATATATATTGATGCAAGTTCTGAATGTTGTGTTTATGGTCTGAATAACATTATTACATTACCCTCCTGTCGCAAACTGTATTTATTACCTTCCATATTGTGGCCCTAAGTGACATCTGGATATTGTTTTTGCTTTAACTTCCAGGAATGTGTTTTGTGGAAAGATTGTTTGTCACTGGACATACACACACTTAGTAAAATCAACAATGTTTGATATTCAGTATACTTACCTTGGGGGTCATATATGTATGTCGGCAAGTATAAGAAATAATTCTTTCGGAACCATAGATGTCACTTTTGTAGAAAATGGTACTATCTGTGGTGAAGGAAAGGTAAGTAAAACTGGATGTGATTCTTGATTCACTATAAAGTGAGTGTGTGTGCAGGTGCATGTCTTTGTGGAGAGAGACAGAAAGTATACATGCGCACAAAGAGAAGTTAAGGTCCTTAAAAATTTATAATGAATAAATTTTGGTAACACATTGTGACCTTAAGGGGCAAAAGACTCCATTTGTGTTGGTGAAGGAAACACTTGCTTTATTGCCTATCGTTTTTATTAACAATTTAATTGTAGTTGCAAACTTGTTTGTTCACACTTGAGAATCCTAGTCTCCTCATTGGACCAGGACCCAGCCGGTAATAATTATATAAAAAAGAAAAAAAAATACACCTAAAAAAAGGTAGAATAACCTGAATAAAAGGAATAAAATAAAACTAACCCAAGCCCCTTCAAAAATAATCCAAGTATTTACTCCTGTTCAGGTTGTCATGGAGAATTAATTTGTTTATAATGAATATACAACACTTACTATTGCATAAGCTACAGCCATGAATTTTCCAGAAGTACAAAAAAGTATATGTGTTTAAACATACATGCTAAAAATAAGGCCCCCTTACAGGACACAATAATAAAACAGTTTCATTTATTTTCATTTAAATAATTTGAGAAATAGATGAAGTACTTTTTAGCTGAAACAATGAAAAATTTATTGACTGATGAAATAAGTACACAATTTACTCACATCTTAAAATTATTCACATTGATAAACATTATTTTCAGAAATAAAAAATTAGAGGAAATGGAAGACCAAGTGAACGTATCTCAAAATGGGAAAATATATTCTCATTAATAATAAAGAAGTAATCAGAAAGGAACATAATGGTACTAACTACTATATAAAGTAATTGTTGTCCTGTAAAGATAATTTAAAACAAACTGAAAATTATGTTTACAATAAATAAGCATATTTTTGGTATAACATAATATGGTAGGATAAACACGTAAATTTATTAATTAACCAATAGTAAAGAAAAAGCATGAAAATTGTATATGGTTTACAGCCAAATAGGATTTGTATTTTTTCCCTAGATTTTGGCACAGAGTTCCTAAACTCCTTGGAATTTTCTGTGTGAATGAAATCTATTTTGTTATTTATAAAAATCCCTTTCCAATGAAACCTAAGTTTATGCTAATGTTGTGACTGGGTGGAACTTCTAGACAGCTTGAAAAATGGACTAGTCATAGAAATGATCAAATGCTTAGAGGCTGGATTTGCTAGACACATTTATAGGCACTAAGGAAGGGGAGTTCTGTGGTTAGTAATTAAACTCAAAATAGTTACTCAACTATTAACTTTGATTAAAATTTTTGTTGTTGGTTGTTTTGACAATTTAGTATTGTCAAGATGGAATTTGCTTATCTGTCCAAGAAGCCAAAAAGAATGCTAACTGTGACTCAAAAGAAAAATGCCAAGGACATGGGGTATGTAATGATTACACTAATTTTTAAGTATAGTTATTTTAGTGTATATCAGTAACATTATAAGCATAAGGTGCAGAACATTTTTACGTGGAATTTTAAAAATTGTATTTATGGAAATTGATATCATTATTTATATATATGTACTTAATTAAGGTGTTCAGTCAGATTATTTTAGGCCTCATGAGCTAATAAGCTTTGAAATTTGTATAAAGTGCAATATGAATTATTCCATTATTATAATGCTAGTTTAGGATAATGAAATTTTGGAAGTGGATTTAATAAGGATTTCTTACATAAAAATATAACTTGTCATTATATGTGTGTTCGTATATGATCAAACACACACATATTTATATTATGCACATTACTTATGATTTGATATTTTTATGGGAGTAGTTTCTTGTCATAAAGATCTATTTAATCTTTCCAAGGCTTTCATTTATTCCTTGTAACTATGGGTGCTTTGGGGGGGGGGGGTGATCTGGTGACTACATGTGAAGGGGTTAATCCTAAACTCTCCAAACATTAGGAAGAATGTAAAACAGTGGCACTGCAATAGCAGTTAAGGTAATAGAGGTATATTTTCTTATGTAATGTGACTGTACTGTACTTGAAAAGTCATCCACTATGGTTGCCTAGCAAGACTGTATTTCTGCCTTTCCTACTCATTTTGATGTGGTTTTTTGTCCTTTATGGAGGAGATTTTGCCTCATTTTTAGATCTTTCTCAGGAGAATTATTCCAATATAATTGGATATTTGTTGTGCTGTGGGAAGAATTGAGTTCAAGAAGTTCCTATGACACCATGTTGAACTGCCTTTCTCTCACATCTATTTTAAAATCTAGAGCAATTCATATTAAATTTTAAGCTCCATTTATATTATAAAATTTCTATGCCATCCTAGATGAAAGCATTTCAGTTTTATCTATAATGTTGCCTACTGTTATTTAAAATAATGGAGACAAATTCAAGAAAATCTTTTTTTTTTTT